AATTATATGTAAATAAATATTTACTTTTTAAGAAAAATATCAAAATTAATAAACTTAGCAACATTGATGACGGTTATAATCACAACCCAAGATTGGCTGCCTTCTTGGATCTAATATATGTGAATGATTTGAGCATAGCAAAACCAATGGACCAATAACAATTCCAGAAGGTTGGGCTGTCATGCTAGGTGTTTTCGGAGAACAAAGTTGTAACTGTGATGGAGACCCAGGCCCTATCAATCGATTGTTCAACTTTGAATGCATCTTCTAGAATAATATAACTTTAAAATATATTTTTTACATTCTTTTTAAATAATTTGTATGGAAAAATTATAAATTAACTTTAATTGTATTAATTATTTAATTAAATATATAATATAAAAATAAAAATAAAAATAATCTTTATAATTTTTATAAAAATTAAATATATAAAAATGCAAGCAACACTTCGTAGGCACAAGTGAGAAAAAACTCTTTTTAATTTACTCGATTTGCTTCCTAACTACAAACTTCATAATTGGAGAGAGCAGCATTCAAACTTGGTGAGTAAAACAAAAAGTGAGATAAGAGTTTGGGTCCATGAATGAGATAGCTATCTCCTTTAAATAACTCTATATGAACTATTTCAGAGATAACTAAATGGGAATTCATCATTCCAATACGATAATTTGGCCACAGATTTGAATCTAAAACATGCATTTTGTATTTAGTAGAAAAGCTGATAGCTAGACTATTACTTATACAAGAGATTGTATGCGGGTAAATCTTGTATCTGATGAATATCTTCTAAAGAAAGTTCTCTCTCAAGTTGGTTCCTTGTCGCTTGTAAAACCTCCTGCAGAAATGGAAATGCCAATTAGCAATTAGAATCAAGAAAGCTCAATAACCAAGAACCTATGTCAATTATTTCAAACTATACATACTTTAATGTCAAGAGCTATGTCTTAACTATCATCTTTGAAAAGCAATTTACAAAGCTAACGTGTTTTCAAAACACCTTCATTTAGAAACTTGAGCTTTGTTGCATTCCACTTGTAACATCTAAAAAAAGTAATTCAACATCCAGCATTACATTCTGTTTTCTGAGTTATCAACATGTATGGTTTTCAGTGTATAGAACTGGGAAAAGGGTCGTCAAAATATGAAATGAGGTTAGGCAGAGGTCACGCCTTGCTGACTGAAATTGCAGCATAGGTTGTGTGTCAATATAGATGTGACACATCACCGATATCTATGCTGCACACACCTTACCGACTGAAATTGCATTGAGGAATGGGTGATGTATCACTATAAATGCAACACATCACCTATGTCTATGCTGCTTGCTATTTATCATTATATAGGTTGAATGGAGCTTCACCCAACATCTCATGGCATGTTTGATGCACAGGATTTTGACATTTTGCTGTTGGCTGAAGCACCTTACATAAGCTTTTATGCACCTAAATTAGTTCCATGGATAATTCAAGTTGCTCTATCCCATCAAGGGAACAGCAAAGAACAATTGGATTTTGAGTGGCTTTAACATAATTAGAAAATTGACCGTGAAGCATATGTGTGTGTGCTTGTGTCTAAGAGTTTGAGTCAGAGATAGAGGAGAAAGTACATTGAACTCCATATAGGAAGCATGCATAGCAAGCCACTGAGCATCCATCATTTCAAAAGCTATACAGTACAGCACATCAAACGCTTGTTCATCTTCTGCAGTTTTGAAGAATTCAATAATCATAACAAATGAGAATTGGAAACTTAAAAGCTATTTCCACAATTCAATAATGCTCAAGGATAAAAAAATTTGAACCGTACTTTATTACCTTCTATTAGTTTCAGGAAATTCATTCCAGGGAGACCTCTTGGTTTAACTGCAGAAACAATAAGAACATATATTACATAAAGACATTCAAGAATAGTCAAAAGGTAAACAGACCCAATTC